ATGTTCATTTCGGTGGTTTCGAGGAATGAACTTACCAAGTCACTCAATTTCTGCGCTAAACAAGTTCTCTTCTCGCGAGAGCCCGAATCCTGAACGGCTTAACTAGTACACGTTCCTTGCCAGTAACTCTTGACACGCACTTCTTATTCATCCCATGCACACTCACCTTTCCATGCCTCCTCTCTTCCCCCATTCCAGCCCGTTTCACAGGATATCTATCGGTGCGTCTGGACTGGCATAATGCATCAGCGTTATTGTTACAGAGTAAATTCCCCCATTCTGCATGAGTAACTTGAAAATGCGATTGAGATGTGACTACTTAATTTTTAAGCGGACATTTTTCGTTGACGAACAGTTTTTTAAAGGACAATTCACTGGAACGAGACAGAATTATTGGACATTATTAGACAATAAGGTCAACATAAAAATCAATTTCGATTTTTATGTTAACCTTATGTCTGTGTTATACCTATCAGCTCGTAAAATTCTTACTAAGTTAGCATTGTCATGAAAAGCCAGTCATTACCCTCTGATTCATTTGACACCGTTGATTGAAATCTTACTTCTTCACAAGACATGATGCAAGCATTGGAAACTCATGCACTGGAACCTGGCACACCAACTTGTATGAAGGAAGGACAATCGGAGAGTAAGTCAACCTGAATAATGGGGAATCTTGGCCTGAGTGGGTTTAAATACACTTGATGAAGATGCTTGGAGTGAAGCGCTCAACCACTACACTAACATCAACCGAGATCCATTTTATGGATGCAAAAGAGACGGGAAATATGAGGGGAAGTAAGAGAAATACGACAGTTTCGAAAGGGAGACATGAGATGAGATATGAAACTATGCTAGCGAAAATACACAGTCACAGAGCAACTACACAGTACAACGAAAAAGAAAGGAACGGTAGGGAGGAGGGCGAGGTGATCGGGCTAGTTTTGGGAGTTGATGGCGGGTTTCAGTTAATCCAGAATTTCTCTCATCACTTACGACAAAAGGGGTCGGGGAATTTACCATATTCTATAGGTGAGATGGTAAGTACTTCAAGGTGATGATGGCTGGTGTGGAAATGTAGGCCATTGTTTTCGTTGCATTTCAGTTTGGCATGACTAATTTGCACTTAACAGACATGGCTTTCAGTGGTCACGTTTTTCTTCCGACATACCGATTAACGTATTTCTTACAAGTAATTAAATGACATTGAAGGTGAATCAGGTCAACGAGGAGAAATTGTTGAAAGAAGCACTAGTGACAGAATGGAAGGTTCTAGCTTGGGGAGTGTTGGCATGCATGAATGGTGCTTTTGGGAGGCCTTCCACAAGTTGAATCCCAGGCAGGGCGGGGCGTCAGTCGTAGACTCATTCGCTAGTCATTAAAATCTGAGTTTAATCTGTATTTGAAAGGCTATTTAGGTTGCGTCGAGGAACAACACCTTAATGTCATGGAGATGTTTACATTCATGGAATTGACCATGCATCAAGCTGCGAGCATGTATAGTTTCAAAGTTAAACGCGCATAGGAAAGTCTTTCTCTAGAGTGGTGGCAGGGCTGTAGGTTTTCGGGCTGGGAATTAATATTGGTTGAAGGAGGGCGGAACGGATGACGATGCAAGCCTTATTTTAAAAACTGTCTCTGTATATGCTTTGATTTGGAAGCCACGAATACAAAGAAAACCCTATAGTCCATAGAGGCTCATCAAGAAAGTTGATGTTACGGATCAATTCCGACGTGGGCGAATGGCAAGTCTGTGAAGGAGAAACTTTTAAAGAGAACGGGGTTGACAGGACGAGAACTGAAGACCATGGTAGGTTTGGAGAAAAAGGCATTCGAATTTTCCCATTTGAAAATCCAATTTCCTTGATTGTGAGTTTCTATTGCTGAGTAAATAGAGGATTGTTCAAACCGAACATTAAATATTCTGGAATGAACCTCGAGAAGTTCGAAAGTGTTGCTGCTCAGCTAATTTATTATCATCGAAAGCACACATAAAAATAAATCATGAATGAAAAAATGAATCATGAATGGAAAAGACCAATTCAAATTCGAAAAGTAAATTGAGCAGCACACGCACATGCTGTTCAAGTGTAGAATTGGCAATGTGATCAGCCAAGCCCTGTTAGCACTCAATCCGAAGCCGATTTTGATTTTGTCTGATGAACTCCAATCGATTGTATGCAGCAATGACACACCCATGCATACAGTACTGTTGAAACGATTTTCCTGTCTTGTATAACGGCTCGAACACACCCCTACGCACGGTAATTCGATGCGCGTAAATCTGCAGCGGAGTGACTGTTGTTGCACGTGGTAGCGTTTTGGTCATACAGAATACTACTGGTCCAACCGGGATCGCCGTTAGGAAACAGTAGCACGAACACTATAGGGTCAATGTGACAGTTGTTTTTGTCGATGCGCATGCAAGTCCGATGGTGTTTCGGATGTACAGCGATATCAATATTGCGCTAAACATTTCCGTATTCATTGGGAAATATGAATGCGCACTCCTTGGGACAAGTTGTGGTGCCTGCAGTCATGGGAATCGAAACGCGTGGACAGCAGTCTAATACCATGCAGCTCTTGCCTAACACACTTCTCTTCCTCGCGAACCGCTTCTCCTAACCGCCTAATGATGCGAAGCGTATGGATCGATTGCTCGCAGTGCATGGTCGGTCGTCAACAGAACTTCTGTGTGACACCCTCTGTTCATTGCATTTCTCATTCGCAACTCGACCGCTTCATCAAAATCATACTCACAGTTGACAGCACACAACGATTTTGTTCCCGAACACCATCACGATACTCGCGCTCCTTGCCACTATCACCATTGTGGTCGTGCGACCGTCACAGGATATTGCTCCTTGCTCATTTTTCCGACAATAAATATTGCCGTCGCTCGACTATTGCTCCATGTGCGGGGGTCCTGCGATGTAGGCGGGCCCTAATTCTAGCATCGACCAATCACATAGCTTGCAGTTTCCTCCGTGTGCCCCCGGGGACTCATCTACGATTGTCGAGCAACAAAAATTGCCTCGTGTGCGAGGTCTCATCTGCGACGGTCGCACGATAAAAATTGTCTCTTGTGCGGCGGGCTTTAATGTTGACGGGAGGAGCGGCCAGTTTGCACGACACATGAAACTGAGTATACGTTATTTTCGACTACATCGATCGTAGCATCTAATAAAAATCAGCCTTGAAGTGATACGCAAACAGAAAAGCATTGCATGTTTGCGACGGTGTGAACCGTGACGTCACTTCTGATAATACAAATTTTACACCGAAAGAATGCATCAATAAAAATTTATTCCAGTAGAAAATTTGCAGTCCGTTGGTGGAAACACGATACATCTTCACAATGAAATATGTCAACCAATAATCGGACGCCACCAAGTATGTAGTTTATGCAGTTGAGACGCCACAGCCTAGTAGGCCTTGCGTGTTAGACCGCAGATAAGTGACGACCATTCACCACCGCTTCCAGCCTCTTTTATGGTCTTGTCTATGGCCCAGAATGGCAGAGCCATGTAGGATTCACGCTTTAGGCCGTGGATGGCCTGGTCAATGGCCTACAATGATGTAGCATTGTAGGCATCGTGCGTTTGATGTGACAGCCACCCCATCTTTCGGCCTCTTTCTTTTAAAGCAAGGGAATAATAGATTTAGATTTGATGAAAGTATTAGGTTAGATATTAGACTAGCTGCACTCGTGTCGCTACGCGACTCTTTTTTTCAAAGAGGCGATTAAATTCAGTGGCGTAGCCAGATTTTCGTCAATAAGGCTAGGTGGAACGTTGAGGGAGGGAGGGGGGCGAACGCACTTGAAATTCATTTGAATTTCAAGTCATTATATCCAGTAGAATGTTTTCAGGCAACAAAGGGATGAGGTCTCATTTGAAAGAGCTGGTTTCTCATTTTACCCCCACTTTAAACGCCATCGATTGATGCATCGAACACAGAGAAAGCCTTGTTGTTGCGCGCACCACCCATTTCGTTACGAAGCCTCTGACGCAGCGCACTTGATCAAAACTTTTCTGTCTTGTTTCGTCGCTGACTTGAGGTTAAATTCATCTTGTACTTGATCTTGAATAGATCTGAAGGTGCACTTGATCTAAGAACATGCGCATTGTGATTACTGGTACGACACGACTCATCAACGAAAGTATCATTGCTTCCAACTGTCGAAGGCTGTGCTAGGACACCCAAAATAACGGAGGACGTAATTAACTTTGCAGAAATGAACTTTATGAGCTTGAAGGCAAGAACACAACTTTAAATTTTCGATTTTTATCGAAAATGACTGAAACCAGTGGCATTTACACCATCTACTGCATCTGTATTCATACTTTCCGAATCATAGTGCTGATAATATAAGTTCAAAGTGCTGATAGTAGCCCTGATTTTCGAATGTAACATTTATGGGCCGATACGGTGCAGTAAAGTTCTTTGAAAAAAAATTATGGTCTTAACTCATGAACATGAACAATAATCATGCATACAGTTCAGATATATTTTCAGATTCAAAGAAACAAAATGATCAGACGCGATGAATCTGTCCAGCTGGAAGTATTAATAAATACTTCATAATTAAGCATTTCAATAATTAGTGTCCAAATATACTACCGCTGGATTCATGGCAAGTCCCTGGAACAATGTCTCCTGTTATGTGTGAAGACGGTCGGAAGGTCGATAAAGAGCTGGAACTAGTGGAGTCATGAAAGGGTAAGGTCGGAAGAAAATAACCTCTCAAGATCCACCATGCCATCCACCATCATCAGGTTTCATGATATGGGAGGGAGTTACAAGAGTGTAAAGGAATCCGAAGCCTTTCCGCCTCGCTGGATCTTTCTGAATCGGGGGACAAAGAGTGCGTATCAGGCTGCTCCAAAGAATGTCCAGAAATTAGACAGCTTTCAACACCCGAAGGCGGCTCACCAATCATATCAACCCCACGTCATAGAAGTAATGCGGCAGGCCAAGGTATTCCATTTAACCAGCGCTCAATGGATGGTCATGTCACTCTGCGAATAATTCAGCCATATCCAATCAGTGGAGCTGCTTTCGTCCTCGGTATCCTTCTCACTGTCTTCACTGTCCTAAAAGGAGAATAGGCCAATAAGTCCTGTAAATGTCGGAAGTTATGAGCAGCGGAGAAGGAAACACGGAGATGCAACTTACAGATTGGGCACCGAGGTTCTGCAGCATCCACTCCTCGCCATCAACCATATCCAAATTGGTATGCCTTTTGCTATCCTTGATGAGGGCAAAAGCATCATACATGAAGCGCTTGAAGACGTCAACTTACGTAAGTACATAAATTTAGACAAATGCCCCACAAAATGGGCCTTCTTTCTGGAATAGTCTGGTAAACTTACTTTGGCGTGCCGCCACATATGGTGGATCGGTGCTCTGACAAACTCCAGTGTGTGGTTCACTGTCAGGTGTTTGAAAGCCTCGCTTTTGAGATGTAATGATATGCAGCCCAAAATCCGTCATAACCGTCGTTCCAGGATGGGCCCAGATACGTATGAGGCGGAGTAGTGCCTCCGCATTCCTCTCCTTGACGGGAACGAAGAAGCACTTTCCTGTTTCCCGTTCCACGTCACCAAACACCCATTGGCCCTCGACGTGGTCGCCCCGGTGGTACTTCCTCCGGACAAACATACTTTCATCTAACTTCACAATTTTCCCCTATCCACCGATCCTTTCCCTTTTCCAAAGACATTCTTCGAGACAAGCCTGCGATAAAGAAGGATACTTATTTATAAACATGCACTCAAACGCTGTTGAGGAATGCCGTGACATGCCTGTAGAAAGTTTCACCTGAGAATGATGCCAGTTGACGACCGTCCTGGAAGAGACTACCGTCTCGTGGACGATATATTCCAGGGGCTAGTCACGAATCCAGAGGTACACAATATGCAAAATTTCCATCAACTTAAGATTGGAAGGATTCATTCTTTCTAAATTCTAGACAGAAATAAACTCATCGCATCTGATTTTCTTCTGTCCCTTCTTCTTTCCTATGCTCGTCGTTCTTTTTTGGCGGTGGAAAGCAACGCCATCACTTAATCTAGTGCAGACATTTACGGTCATTAGTTCCTGGCATTTGTGACACCTGCTATCTGAAGCCACCCTTCTTTGACGATTTGATTGACCAGGTCGGTAGCTGCAATATCGTCATATGAGGATTAAGTTGCTTCTGCAATACGTCCATCTGCACGTTACACCATGAAGGAGTTCAAGCAGAATAGTTTCAGTCTTGGGACAATTTGACATGGGACAGAGGCCACTGGTGAGTGAAGTAAAAATAAATATAGCTTCCATCTTTTTACATGAAATTTTCGGACCGAAGCATGCGAAATCATCAAACACAATGTTTACTATGACAAGCAAAATGGTTCATAGTGTTGCCTACTACTCCTTGGCAACAAAAATGTGCACGAAATTCATTAGAGTTTCTGGTATTCTTTTTCTGGTATTTCTGGCGTTCCAAATTGCTCACACCATGCATTTTTGCAGTATTCCATTTGTCAATGGGTTTTCCATAACTTGCGGATCTGCGAGGGACCGGTGAAGCAAAAGTTATTTTTGATATGCCGCCTGCCTTTTGCATATTTTGCTTAGTTGAGTCGGAAAGAATCGATGCCATGACCGCCTCGCCAAGGTGAATCAAGCAAGGGAAACAAATTGAAGCAGTGCAACTATTGCAAGGGGGGAAATCCCCCCTCTTCCCTATATATATACTAAAAGTTTAAAGGGAAAAAAGTATGGGGAATGGACTTTGGTTTTCCTCATGGGTCTTTGGGGACATACTGTACATTCACTTCCGGGTATCCAGACTATGGTCGTGTTAACATGGGTGAATGTCACAAGTGACTGGAAGAGTGCACATGCAACGCTTCGGGCATGCTATCAAGAATGCCCACAGGTGGACAGAGTTTCTGGAGCTCTCGGAGAGGTTACATTCGAAACTGAGAGACCTCCAAAGGAGCTTTTATTTTTTCTTTATTTTGGTTCGAGATAAAGTCTAAATATAACCGAAATGAAGTTGAAGAAACGTGAAAAAGCCCCCTGTAATAGTGATTTTCACTGGATTGAACTCAGGATAATGCAGTTGATAATGTCACCTGAAGCTAAATGTTTCAAGTGCAATGTCATTAGGACAGGAAATAATATTAGCACAATATCGTGTAAGAGTAGAAGTAACAGCCACGTGATAGGCATGAAAGCCATCATATTGACCAGGATCGCAGAGAGATAGGTACTGGGATTTTGGGGAAGGAGTTCAGATCTTAAACCGAAGATTTCGCCAAACGCGCCAGTTTCAGGTTTGGGGTTTTGGGCACAAGTCCAGGTCCGAGAACTTGAGTGACTTTCCTAATGTGAGAGGGAGCTATAATCTCTTGGGTGGGATTTTTTCATACACGTCATCACCATTGGTTCCCTCAATTCATTTTCAGTATTAAAAGTACCCATATGGAAATAAAATAATCTGGTTTTAAGAGCCATAATGGTCTCATCTCGGGTTGCCATGCATAACGATCGCTGAATGCCATGTACGTTCATAAGGACATCAACATACTTCATGAAGAGATAGTACTATATTTGGAATACATATGGAAAAGCTATACTGTGAACAATCTGATTATTCTGTGATTGACGGGCATAAAACCAATGTTCACACGAGAGACACCTGCGAGATCTCTCTCACATTGCAATGTCGATGGAATATCAAGGGTCAACAAGACCCAACTTACTCCCCTGGCTCGAGGTACGGCCAATACCAAGCTTTCGCTTGGCTCCAAGAATTTGGTCGGGTCGGTAGATGCAGGCGTGGATGACGAAGCCAACTCCAAACCCACCAAGAAAGATGGCTAGGAGGACGGCAAATATGATTCCTGCAGACCATGTTCCCCTTTCCTCACCAAAACCCACTTCTTCATAATAAGAAAAAAAAAATGTTTCCATCGTAATTCAACATCTTGTATTTTTTGTTAATGATTTTTGGCACATTGCTGAAAAATTTTATAAGTGAATGAAAAATTTCCCTCAGTATTGACATTAAACTCCGTAATCCAAAAGAAAAAAAAAAACCACCCACATATTCGGAATAGAACTCGCTTCAAGATGTGCGAAAACTAGATACTAATTTTCACTCTCAGCTTTTAAATCGTAACCTACCTGTGCTTCGCCAAACACAAAATATACAGAGTTCCGTCAGAGGTCTGTCGCCTTCGGACAACACAAAGTTGTCATGCCTGGTCAGTTAAAATCCGTACATGGGGTAGTTAGGTATACTAATCCCGGAGATCCTCGCCATAATGGGCAACAGGAGCATTTGGAAGTAAGTGGCTACCAAGACCAGAAGGTAAAATTTTCTCATTGAGATTTTGATAGAAGAAAACACTATGGAACAAATTGAACGAATGATAAGACATGTCATAACATGAATAAAACAAACTAACAAAAGAAAATGTACGGTATTTCCCTTATCTTTCTGTTGTGCACCTCCTTATGGTGAGACTGTGTATACACATTCCAGAAGAGCTCATTGCGCATACGCAATAAAGCTCCTCTGGTTTAAAATTCATTCACCCGCTATTTTAATCCATCTTCCAAACAGGTTTTAGCTAATAATCACGCATGCACTCAAGCAATCTCCTACAAATTCTCATGAAGTAAATAGATAATCAGAGATTATCTATTTACTATTTACCTGTCCAAGAAAGATACAGGATATTCATCCACGCACCGTGCAAAACATTACCATGCTCCTACACAAAGGCAATCTTAATGTTTTCCATGACTTCCTAGTTGCACTTGCAAATACAACATTCTCATCTCGCTTCAGGAACTTGCTTATACCAAGGATTGCAACATATTTGTTTATTCAACCCATTAATCACATCCGAGTATACAAGATGACCTGTGAACTAGTTGGAAGTGACCGAATTTTAGGACATAAACGGAAGGAGATGAGGAAGCTTTCTAACTTTAATGGCACCGTGGTTTAAGTTTCCACCAATACTATTTATCAGGCGCAATGATCCTTTTCGACATATGAACACACCTCTCTCCCTAATTCTACGTGACGTTGACAAATTGTGAATTAACGATGTATTATAAATCAAGAGGTCACGGTCCTCGAATTAAAAGAATTTCACTCACTGCATTGGCCAGTTGCGTCATCCGCCAAAAATCCGTTGAAGCATGAACATGTTTTTCTCCCCTCACTTCCAGTGCAAATTGAATGAGTCACACACGCCGCTGAACTAGAGCATTCCCCTCCAGCTGGCAGCTCTGCGCAAAGGAAAGCAAAAATCATTTCGATTCAACATATAAAGCGTTGAAAACGATGTTCAAATCATTAGAGACTAGTAATTTTTCTTTGCGACATGTTTTGAGCCTGAATCATAACAAGATTATGGAGAATCTATACGGTATTTCCAGTGTAGTTTCTACAGGTTCCAGACACATTGCCCATCATCATCGGGGAAAAATGCTGGTATGATTGAAGAGAGAATTGTGCAACGTGGTTCAGCATAATTCTCCACAGGCGAATTTTTCTTAACTTTTCTCTTTGTGATAGCCTTCGGCAGCCAATGGAAATTAAGGATTCACTATTTCGGGGAACGTAATTGTTTTATTTAAAAAATGAATCCCAGCCGTCTTTGGACGATTCTCTGTTCATTCTTCCTCGAGATTTATTGGATACTAGCGAGTTTGCTTGCCCTTCGGGCAAACAAACTCGCTATGGCCGAGTCATCAGCGCCCCATTAACTTAAATAGTGAATAATTAATTTATTCTTTGCGAAATGGCAAACACATATTTTTATAAAGTACGTCCCCATTGAAATGCGTGACTTATGGGGACGAAAGTCTGGATAAAAAAAAAATCAAAATCATTACATCTGATTTCTAGTGTGCCTAACTTGAAATCTTTTCTTGTGTCCCTTTTTGTAAGGGTGGAGAATACATTTTGAAATATTTCCCTCCTATAATCTACGCTAAGGAGACATATCAAAAGTAGGATTTTTCCTGTACTCAGCAAACAGAAAAATTCTGAGGGAAGTGTAAATTTTCTCTCTGCTTCGTGGATCAAAAAAAAATTCCGGAAAATGGAGCTAAAAAAAGTGCCCTGATGGGTTTTAACGGAAATTTTTTTTCTTTTGAAATGTAGGCTCAGGGAACTCCTTGCCAACCAGTTTAAGGCTTATTCGTTTCCCGTTTTTGCTGGTGGGAAAAATGTATTTGGAAAAGCGACCCACCTAAAAGCTGTGCTCTGGGGAGACGCACAACAAAAGTTGAATTTTTCCTTAAATCAACATCACGTCCGTGCGCCAGCTACTATTCTATTTTTGCCCGATTCAGTAGGATATGGAAAATTATTTGAAAACGTTACGTCCCCAAGAAATATGAACCCCAAAAATATTTTGGAAATTTGACGTTTGACATTACAGCTCAGTGCGTCAACGGTCACGTTCCCTCCAAGTTTCAGTTTTCCATGTGTCTCCGTTTGATTGAAGCAAAGAGAACTATTTGGAAATATGTTCCCCAAAAAGGTGTGCCCCTATGGCATATATCACCAAAGTAGAATTTTTCCTGAATTCAGCATGCGAATAGCTACTGACGTCAGTCAGCTACTCACGATCCTCTATATACAATAAAAGTAGAATTTTTTCTTCACTCAGCTATCCATTAAGTACGTCTTTGCCAAGTTTAAGCTTTCTAGCGCCCTCTGTTTTGCTGGATCAGAAAATTTGGGAAAATACGCCTTTTGCAAAATATGTGCCCTGAGCCGTTTTAACCGAAAACTACCATTTTTTTAATTACCGAAATCCATCCTCAGTGAACTACATGCCCAAAGAGATTCAATATTATGTTTGCCCTTTTCGCTGGTGAAAAAACATGTTTGGAATAGCCGACCCACCTAAAAGCTATGCTCGGATGGGATGCACCATGAAAGCTGAATGCTCCCTCAACTCAGCAATATCATGTCACTTATACGTGTGCAAAGTTTCATCTTTCCATTTATGACCAGTTTGCCACGACAAATTCTTTGTTTTTTTTTTCAAAATATCGCCCCTCGAAAAAATTCCCCAGGGGATGTTTCGAGACTTAACATTTTTATTTAACTCCTTGTCTCAGTAGTCAGATTCGTGCAAAGTTTCAGCTTTCCATGTTCATCAGTTTAACTGATGCAAAAAAAAATATTTGAAAACATCTTCCTTTGAAATTTGTGCCCTCAGAGCATTTACTTCCAAAGTCTGAATTTTCCTGCAGCATCCCATTAGGTAGTTATTTACCAAGTTTCATCCTTCCACAAAAGCTCAATACGTCAGGAAAAGAAATTGACACGTCCATGCCAGGTTTGAGCCATGTTCCATGTCTCTCCGCCGTTTTACTCAAGCAAAAATAATGTTATGGAGGGGGAATGAGTATCTTGAGATGGACGCCAGAAGAAGCCCAAAGAAAGCCAAGGAATGGCCGGGAATTAAACCCGGACCTCCTGATTGCCGCCCAGATGTGTTACCCCTACACCATCGAACCCGGGACATCCAGTCGACCCTCCAAAAAGTCCTCCCTCAAAAATATGTACCAAGTTTCAGATTTCTAACCTTTCTAGAATATGGTTAGAATTAGCGTCAGTCAGTCAGTCACGATCGTCTATATATATTAGATTCTGCTCCGCTTAACTTCGGAAAAAGAGTATTCAAGTCATAATGAAGACCAATATAGATTTTAGGTAGACGAACACATTTAGATTAAGCGTCCCTCCACTGTCTGACCGCACACATGAATGAGACTTCCTAAAATACAACCTACTCGAGTAATTCCCGACTGTTTGACGGGTCATGGTGGACCACCTGCTTCCACCTGCTTGATTTCACAGGCTATGATTATGACTCATTAAGAGTTACATTCTGCCATATGCCAAAGTGCTCGTCCGATACATGTATACGTCATGAATAGCATGGTCCATTCGAAGCGGGTGTTATTAAGAGGATATTAAGAGAAAAGGAGAAAAGAATTTCACTCACTGCATTGGCCAGAGGCATCATCTGCCACAAATCCCTCGAAGCATGCACATGTGTTACCCTCGTAGTTCTCATCACAGTTTGAATGAGTCACACACAACGATGAATTTGTACACTTATGTCCAACGGGCAGTTCTGCAATAAAGATCGATTCCTTTATTGAGCTGTTTTGTTGAGTTGTCTAGAGCGAGGTTGACACTACAAGGAAGAGGTTATGTCAGTGATTCAGAGGCTTCCTAAGATTTAGATCAAGTGTCATGGTATGAATATGATTATTTTAAGATATAAGAAATGTTGCTTACATTTCATGCTGAAGTCCACGCTAATATACCATTCACATTTTTTTTAAACCTGATGGAACGTTCTACTGAAATTTCCATACGGAACTTAAATTGATTACTTTTATCGAGTGAGTTTCAATCTTCCTAGGTTTCGATCTGGTTAGATGTTATGGTTCTTATGTTCCCCTAACCTACTTCCACAGAATGAAGCGGCTCTAGTAGGAGATTCTTGCATCCATTAATTGTGCGTAAATAGTGAATCACATATTTAAGGTCATTAGTTCTCGTGCGACGATTAATTCTTACGATTGAGTACAAAGTGGAATATGGCGAAATCTTCACAGCTGTTGAAAAATATACCTAGTATACAGAGGAATTTCATGGAGAAGTTAAGAGCTAGTGTAGTTACCTTTCTATCATGAAACGACAAAGTGTTTCTGTCACAATGCCTATGTTTTACTACCCAGCGGATTGTGCCGATGGGTCCAAAACAAATATTATCATACATCAGATAAGATGAAGAAACCTTAAATTGCTATTCTCTGAAGTCGTAGGCAGCATGATGGCACCACTATTTTAATAAAATTCACCTTTCTTTAACTTCATATATTCATGGATTACAAAATTTGGATGGGGTCTCATTAGAAGTCGTATTTACCTCGTTTCTTATCTCAATCTGCCTTTCTAAATTAATGATCACCTATACGTTCCATTAGACAATCAAATATATCCTCGTGTTTATACGAGTAATAGATTTACTCACTGCACAAGCCAGTGGCATCGTCCGCCACGAAGTCGTCGAAGCATGAGCACTTGCTTTCCCCATCGTTTTCGCTGCAGATGGAATGAGTCACACACAAAGCCGAACTCGAGCACTTTCCTCCTGATGGCATTTCTGCCAGGGAAAATACCAAAAATTGTCTTTCCGTTCAATTGCTAATGAAATCATGAAGTGTGTGCTAGGAATCACTTGAAAACAACTGCGAGTGTATTAGCCAACATCGATTAGTGAATCACAAAAGTCACAGAAATGTTCGCAATTCTGCTTGCGTGCTAGCTGTTCTCAGCCAATTATTTAGGAGAAAAGGCCAAAGCCTATTAAAAAACGTTCCAGAAGTGGTTTTCCAGCGAAGCATACTTATATGTAACATACTTTCCAGTAAAATCCCATTTTGATACAAAATTGGGTTAACATTGCATTTTGGCTGCATAAGCATATTAAAATTATTGGAGAAGAATGTTATTGACGAAGAAAGGTACCGTAATAGGTTCCCGTCACCTTGGCTGAAAGAAACAGCTCCTCTCCTGAGATACAGCTGCCATTACTTCAGGAATCGCACGTCCAATTGACATTAATTCGTCCCCAGTAGTAGATTTAGCATTGTCTATTTTGTCGGAATTCATGCAAAGTTAATTTCAATTGCCCTATATGAAAGGGGAGCGCCACTAAATGGCGAAAACTCAACGCCCAATTGAGATTGTTCCAGCGTAACTAGCTGCCACACTTCCCTCCCTACCAACAAACATTATTTTCCCAACTAGAGGGTTTGGGTTTGCTCATCAATATAGAACAGCAAATTACGATAATGGAAGGGCTGATCTAGCTTGTGAATCCCCTCCTTGGATCAAAAGGAATTCCAAACACAAAATACATTCTTGGAAAGCAGAGCGTTTTACTCACTGCACAGGCCAGTGGCATCATCAGCCACAAACCCTCCGAAGCACGAACACGTCTTATCCTCATCATTTCCAGTGCAGAGGGAATGAGTCACGCACGATTTCGAACTAGAGCATTTCTCTTTGGCTGCCTGTTCTGGATGGAGAGACACCGGGAGTCGCATATCAGTAATCAAGAAGTATTCAAATCAATCATAAAAATTCGTACTAAATAGTAACTCTTTAAATGTATTGTTTCAAAAGCCTGCAGGGATCGGTGATTTCGCAAAATGGAGAATTTTGCAATTGTTCACTCTGAATGGCAATTAGGTGTGTAGCAATCTTATTTAATTTTTTTTTCGGTCACATGATTTTATGTCCATTTTCCGAGGTTCTTTTTGCATTGAAAAAAAATTCATAATCATGCACTTGAAACAGAATGAACCTCAGAGTATGATTCTGGGGTATATCGCCTGCAAATGGATCAAGTATTACGGAGGTTAGCACCATGTTGACAACAAGCATGTGAATCTCAGAGAAAAACTGGAAAAAAGGCATACACCGCTAATATTCTTACGCTAATCTGTGTTGGTATCGTGCCATTAAACTCAACAGGAATTGAATAAGATTTCTTGGTTCTTCAAACGTGGAAGACGCTAAGAGGACCACCATATTACGGACAGGACAGTGGCGCCACATCCGGTTACTGTTATAAGAACGCGTCATGACACTCCCACATGTTTCTTTCATTTTCAGTTCCGTATTTTCCACAATACTCCGTGCGACGTCGTTGCAGCGAAAAAGCGATTGCACTTTCTGATTCACCTTCGTGTACCTTGCATAACCCTGCCACTATGCCGAACAACTTCCCTGCCTTCCACTTTATATCCCTATTTGCATTTTTAAATTGAGAATGCTCATTCGGAGTCTAATTCATCTTCTTGTCCAGTGGGAATGAACACTCCCAAACTCATTTCATTGTATACTGATTTATGACTATTATGTGCGTGATGAGACAATCAATGACTCTGTTCTCATATATGTTCCAAGAGAAGGGACGAATTTGACTCACTACACAGGCCAGTGATATCATCCGGCACAAATCCATCCAAGCATGTACACTTGCTGCCGTCACTACTTTCTTCGCAGGATGAATGAGTCACGCACGATGTTGGACTTGAGCAGGTTCCTCCAGCCGGCAGTTCTGCGCGAAAAAGACAATAAATTCCCGTTTGGTTCGATATTGATGAATTTAGATACCAACCACCTTTGTTACCCTTTTGGGATTCATACCAGATTGCGGTGTTAAAGCTAAAGTCATGAGAGTATATCAATTTTAAATAAAATATAAGAATTACAAGGACAGGAAAGGTTGCGGTATAGTATATGAAAAGCATGTCTGATGTCTGAAGGCTGTCAGTAGTAGCAATATTGGCAATGAAAAGTATTCGGCTCAATAACAGAGTTTGCTCATTGCCGAGGACTTGAGCGAGGGATTCCAGAAGCCTCAATCACAGGTCCAACATAGTCACGCGGCAATCGTGATTGTGTTTATCTTAAATAAATACTTTAGCATGTCCTTTAAAAACCTTGGGAAGTGGACGGTGCAAAAAAAAAAGCTTAATAATTTTCGCATATAATGGCGGTAAATTTTATAAGATCGATTCAGTTTTTAAACCCTGCATATGGATAGAGGAAAAAAGGTATTTATCTAATTTTAAGAAAATTCACGCATTTGTTCTATGCCAGTTCAAACTTGAAAGGTAAAAAAAAAATCCGGTAGAAGCCCGCTTATGAGCTCAGCCAGAGAATCTAACGAAAGTATGCGCGTGCCATGCCAAAGAGGCAAAGGGCGTGTTTTTTTCCCTTCGTCATCTATGAGTGTTCAATTGAAAACGTGACTTTTCGTCCCCGAATTTAGGATACCTTAGTAACAGCCATTGTCCCCTTCTATACATACATACATATATATATATATATACACTAAAGCGAAGCATTTTGGATGAAATCTGAAAAGCTGATGGGAAAGAAACATATCAATAGATTAAATTAGGTTTCATCCCATACACAATAGGGGAGTGGGTACAGACTTCGGGCGTTTTCTCTAAGTTGTTTCCATTACATTTCTTTCGACCGAACTTGGGTCTCGAATCGACCGGAGTTGCCCGTTCTAAATAAATGGATGGAATGGATTCCTTCGGTAATTCAACGACGTCCATTTTGTATTAGTTGATATTTAGATCGATCCGGAACGGGAGCTGGTGAAAACTCTTTTCCCTTTGAATGTAACCTTCTGAGTAGGATGTAAGAGAAAAGTCTAGGTCTGAAATTGCTCGGCGGTGCTTGCCTCAGTGGCCCTCAACTCTGGCACCTAAATAGCAAAGTGCCTATACAAATTGCGATCATGAAAATAGCAAAGTAGTCGAACACCATTGGGACTTTTCAAAATTCTACAAGAAGGTAATTCGAGGCGTCCACACATGGTTGGCACATCGTACCGTTCCCATATCCGAAAATGTGCAGACTGTTCAAGCTGCTATCACACGGAGTAAAAAAAATCAAATCTGAGATTAGCCTCTGAGAATAACTTTTTAGAGACAACATTAGTGTCAAAGAAGTAGTCATTTCCCCATAAGATTGGTGTTTGGCAATAATTATACAACACTAGTGTAAAAGCACGTGGAAGCACGTGCTTTTACACTAGTTGAATAATAAGTCGAATTAGAGTATTTCGTGCATGTCTTTCTGCTCTTTCTTCGTCAGTTTCACTATTACTGGAAGCAGTCTGCGAAACAGCATTTTGTGCACGGCATCATACACATACATGCACTGACTGTGAATCCAGAATTTCTCTCTTTCTCGCACGTCCAGTAGATCCCGCCGCAGAATTGTCAATACTTCACCACCTGTTTCGCGGTATTTTGAGAACATAAAAATTGGACAAAATTGATAATACAGTGTTTTAACTATATGTTGCAAACTGACGAAGCGAACCGGGTACGGGAAGGTATTCAGTAAAATGCTATTCTTATCGCCGAAATTAGGTCCCATGGCGTAAAAATGGTAGGACTTCTCGATTTTTCGTCCCGATAATTATCGGCACCAAATTATCAATATAAGCTTTCAATTAACACCTATCGCATTTAAATGAGACACCGAAAGAATTTGAAACTCTTAGGAACCAAACACAGAAAGTGATGGGAGTCTCAAGACGAGAACCATCAATTTCCCCCTTTGTAACAATATCCAGTGAGTTCCGTCTCATAGCATCCTAAAGCGACAAAACTTCACATTTTCATGCAAACATGCTTTCAATCAATTATAAGTGGATGAGTTCCCGGAATGGCAGGAATTTCCCGGAATGACAGACAGATTACCCTCTCATGAATATGGATAATTGAACATTTAAAAATTAACTTTGTAATTAATGAACATTTTGATGATGATACAATTTTCGGCAAACCATCACTTCATGTAGAGTCGATTGACACCTGGCTGACCTCTGCGTCACATACAATTCCCTGGGAATAAGCGTGACAGGTAGGTATTATACATATACAGTACCTGTATATAGAATATATATATTAATAGATAGAAGACGCTTGGCCGTCTGTATGTCCGCAGTGTCATGTGCGCATGCGTGGCGCCTTCTGCCGGCTCCAGGTGTGTCTCGCTCTATCTTTCCCTCCGGCCATAGCGGCTGTCGAATACATTCTTGAAAACGTAATAGCCCCGGGGGGAAGGGGGGAAGAGTTCAGATGGCATACCGATAGAAAAACAATGGAGCGGCGGGAATCGATCCTGGATCCTAAATAGCAGACGATACTTTTCTACTACACCACCAAAACAAATACGACAACGGGAGAAATGCATTCCACGCACACTCCCTGCTCCCGATACGGACCCGGGGGTTTGATACGAACTTTTTCAGCAGGGACATGTATCAGGGTGTCCCATATGTTTTTTGGATTATTTTGAAACCATTCTAATTCTGCGCTCATTTTTCGCAAAGGTTTGAAATTCCTCCTGTTATTAGGGTAAGTGTTGTTCTTTCTTCCAGTTACTCCTCTGTGAGCTTTGTGTGCTGTACTACTCCTAGCATGAGTTTTGACAAGGTTCATGTCCGCCATGCTTTGCTTACGTGTTCTTCGCCTCCAAAGAGGCGCAGTTCTACCATGATGGGATTCATTCTCTGCATGGAAGATGGAGAGACGTGGTGGAACACGATGGCGACTATATTGATGATTCATGTTGATTGTTGGTGTCAGAGGATAAGAATATATAGAAAAATGGAAAACCCAAAAAACATATGGGACACCCTGATAAAACGTCCCCGTTAAGGGGATGTTTGGACGAAGGAATGATGACTTCCTCGTCGGGATGAGATCTCATTATATATTTCACCGTCAGATCATATATTTATCGGGATCTCCACCCCTTCATCAATCAGAACCCCGTCCTTTAATTGATCGGGATTCTCACAAGGAGAGTGACTCCCAGGGTGAAAACGGCAGGAACAGGAACCCTTGGATCGGAAAGACGCCGTCGGTCGCGTAGTAACCATCCCATTTCTCTTGCGCAATTTCACTCATGGGCATACATGAAAAGTGGTGGAGATGGACTTCACCGACGATGCGCACATCATCGAGATCGATACCGCATGAGAATGCCGCTCGATAAAATTCCTTATCGTATGCGTGAACACGCCCTTGAATAAGAAGGAAGGGGATGCGCAAGACGTACAGTGTCCGAGCGGCTGCTGCGCAGGTTTATAGAGCCGCTGACTGATCTCGTGAATATCCGAAAATGCTACACGCCTAGCTTAGGCCGACCCATAGTTCGTGGATGTCTTCCATAGGTTGGGGTCTCCGTCTCGCTCTCGGGCGAGCAGTTTCATTCAAGTCTTCGCGACTGTCGGATTCGTTCTCGAGAACGGGAGAGTGAGCGGCTGCCGCGTGCTGAATGAGCACATGGATTCCCGACTACGTTCAGGACCGTAGAGAGGGGAGGAGGGGGGGGGGGGCCAAATTGGCAATTTTCCTCGTGTCCCTTTCTGGGAGGGGGGGGGGGACCGGCCACACCGGATGATGTATGTACTTTTGTTTATTAGCGTAGCGTTCGATTGCAATGAAGAGTTCAAACATTAAGTGAGTGTGCTTGAATCTTCTTCTTGAATCACTCCAGCTCTCGCACTAGCTTACAGGACATGAACTGTTAATTAGTAAGATAGGTGTGACATCAGAGAAATATGGTCTCAGCTTGCAACTAATGACCTGGCATTCTCTATCTGGCACGTATTCGCGATTCCGTAGGACCTTCCATTCTCTTGTGTTGAAAGGGGTTGAATAGCGAATTCTTCATTACCTCATTGCATATAGCCCTCATCGGAGAGTTACCCATGGAATTATGTTTGCGACGCTCCTCAGTGTGACTCCTAGCCGTTACTCTGGAGGGATAGCCCTTCGGTAATGGTGTTTTGCTTCTCTGTGTGGAGCTATGAGATGCAAGAGTTTCTCAAAAGAGTATGTCCTCATCCGAAAATACCCATGGAACCGCTCAGGGTCTTTCTGCAATTCGGCGAAAAGGTGATAGAGTTCACCGAATTGCTGCCTTTGGGAATTAATGGGATGCACCCACAACTTCCTTCGCCATCTCTTTCTCCATCGCCACAACAGAACATGGGTAGACACCAGTTCTTCCTCACTCTCCTCCATGCTGCACAAGACCACCACTGGAGCAGATGGTGAATTGAACTGGCATTACAGTTGTGCGTGCGTAATCACCTGACCGATCTTGACTGAAGGGACTGAACTGACCAATCACTAAACGTGACTAGACTTGACTGATTCGATGTAGATGTATCCGTTGGTAATGGTGAATGCATGACTGAATTGACTAAAGTAACTTGACTGAAGCATGACTTGCCTTGACTAGACGTGACTGAACCATGACTGGACTGGACTAGACTAGATTAGACTGATCCGGTGTGAAGACACCCTTAGTCTAGGCCAGAAATATCAAACTTGACTAAGCTGGCGGCCGGATGGAACCCTTCAGGAATGGTTGGGCCCGTATCCGCACATCTTGCGCCAAAGTTTCAATAAGAGTTCGTGGAAGTCTTCCACGGGTCGGCTAGTAATATTAGTAGTAACATGCAGTAAAGTTTTTTTTTGGAGAGCGGGGCTTCAAAAAAACAACAGTTTTTTTTAAAAATATGAATATAGAAGGTTTCATCAGATCAACCCAATCAATTAAACTCTGAATGTTGATTGATTACGGAAGGTTTCAGCCGAGTGTGATACATATCCATACCATTGATCACAGTATATGCTAAAAGCGCCTTCCAAGTTCTCGGGTGCAAGCATGCAGCCACTTTCACCATTCCTGAATTGCTACATCGATGATGCTATGCTCAATGCCATGCGCATTTTCTTATCCTTCAAGTTTGAAACGATGTAGCACATGACACTTGGTGCTAATATCCTTCAAATTTGACATCCTCATTTCATTTATACTGTACACATGCAGTGATTGGAATATTGGACCGATCTGAATAAATATACTAGTACTACCATTCCAATAAAAAATGAATTGCAGTTTTATTTTTAAAACACCGTGTGTATTCTTACAGATTCTTGCAATTTCAGAGTCCTGCTTTTTAAATCTACTGTAAGGTACTCAAAGGCCCCAATCCTTGAGTTTATCAAAGAAAATGGACAAATTCACTCACTACAC